AAACGTTCTTTCAGTTCAAAATTCAGATCGAGGTTCTTTATGCAATGTTAAGTCCCGCTTCTCCTCCTCTGCTACCTCCTGCATTCGAAGCCTGGCTGCAACTGTTGCATCTCGTTTAGGTCGAAACACTGGCGCTTTAGGGTTGAGGGGTGTCTTGTCTCCCTGTACATTCTCTTTTTCACACGACAGTTCCAAGGGATAGAGGTGCTGGATTGGGTGTTCGAGGTGTGATCGACCAGTTGGCAACTTTGGACCACGAACTACACCATCTCTTCCTTCGATAAGCTCCTCGACGGTTCCAAGAGGCCAACAGTTGCGGTTCCGCTCAGAAGACTGGATGACGACCACATCTCCAATAGCAAGGGTATACTTCTTGTCACCGTGTTTGAGCCGATGGCGCTCACGTAACGACCGCAAGTATTCGGCCGTCCACCGACGCCACATTGCATCTTTAGTTCTCAACAAGAACTTAGCACGCTTTCGTAAATCTTTGTCATCCAGGTGGTGCAGCTGTAATTCAGGAAGGATATCGGTGTTGAGAAACAGTAACGTGCTTGATGTCAAGGTAGGAAGTTGGACATCTTCCTCTTGGTAGCAGAGCAGACGATTGTTAAGGGTCACTTCGACGTCCAGGATGACTTCACCCAACTCCTCCCAGCTGAGCTGTCCTTCACCTACTGTCTTATAGAACGCTGACTTCATTAACCCGATCAGTCGCTCGAATTGCCCGCCCCACCAGGGTGCTCGCTGAGGTTGAACTGCCAAATGATGGACTGATCACTTAGATACGAGTGGAATCTTTCATCTTTCTTTACTTTCTTTAGCCACTTGGCTGCTGCGACAAACGTCTCACCATTGTCCGAATAGATTTTCGACGGTCATCCTCCTCTGGCAATTAACCGTTTTAGGCTCTTGATGAATTCTGTAGTCTCCAAACTGGGCAGCACCTCCAGAAACACTCCGTACGTTAGACTGCAGGAGTACAACACCACATAGTCCTTTTTCTCTTCCTTGCGCTTGTCAGGGTATTTTACAGGTCCGGCAAAGTCCACGCCTATCACGTTGAAGGGCGTGTTACCTTCCGTTCTTTCTATTGGCAAGGGTGCTGGTGGTGGATTTGCAAAGGCCACGGCTTGAAAGCGGTTGCATCCGTTGCATTTTTTTTCACGATTCTCTTCGTCAATTTCCGAAGAAGGGGGTATCCAGAACTTCGCTCTCACTCTCGCCATGGCTAGACCAACTCCCCCATGGAGTGTAGTGACGTCAGCCCATTGCACTATCTTCTCTGCTAGTAGAGCTGAGTCAGGCAGGTATATTGGGTACTCACCCTGGACCCGTCCTCGACATTCCAACAAACCTTCTCAACTAGGCTGCAGGTTCAGTTGTTCTTGGTCTTGGTCAAATTTGGCGTGGCTCATCCCCTGTAGCTGTGCTCTCTTGACTTGAAACATCTGACATTTCTCAACCTCAGCTGTAGTCAGTGGTCCCTTGGTCTTGCGGGAGAAGTTATGTCAATTATGCAGGAATCGCATGACCCAAGCACCAATCCTCATGACCTTACGCAGTTCGAACTTCCATAGGACCAAATCCAAGGCATCACGGGTCTCGACTCCAACCGCGAACACTTCTTGCTCGAGCTTTCGTTCTGCCATACTATCACGGCTTGGTTCCGGCATGATGTCGCCTGGCCACTTAGCAGGTTCTGAGAGCCAAGCAGGTCCATCCTACCAGAGGTCTGCGCCTACCAAACTACCACCACGACTTCCTAGATCGGCGGGGTTTTCAGTTGATGGAACATGACGGCACAGCACGTTTGGATGAGACTGGATTCTCCTAAACACGATTCTGCACAAAGTGACGGTACTCCCCTTTATCAGCAATCCAGTGTATGGCTGCAGAACTGTCCAACCAGGAATGGTGTTTAGTCACAAGAGTTAGTCCCGCCAGCGCTTGGCGTACATTGGTGATTAGATTTACGATCATGTGACCTGACACGAGCTCCAACCTAGGAATCGTAAGACCTTGTTTCGCTAGACGGGACTTTGCAGTAACCAGCCCTTGTGATGTACCTGAAGCTTGCTTGACCACGGCGTAAACCACTGCACACACCCCACGACCGCTGGCATCACCAAAAGGCATGGAGCTGAATCTCGTAAATTTCTTCTTGGCAGAGAGGAATACTGCGTTTCGCCGACACTGCCTCAGGTAGAGTGCTCTCCCACTTTTTCCAGTTCTTCATGGTCTCCTCTGACAAGGGGGCGTCCCAAGCGTTCTTCTCGATACAGGATTCTTTATACAGAGCTTTCCCCTCAAGCATGACGGGTGACACCACTCCAAGTGGGTCTTACACTTTAGCCAAGTTGGTCAGGATACCACGCCTCGTTTGCTCGGCTGGTGTGGCTGGAAAACACACAGAGTATCTTCGACCTTGTCCTAACCAACGCCTACGAGTTTACATTCTCCATTAGCCGGTGTGTTCTCTAACTGCTCCTTGGCGAATGATGGCTCGTAGTCTTCACAGGCGGTATCAAGTTCTTTTCTGTTCGAATGCCACTCGTGCAGTTCGAACTTGGCATCAGCGAAGATCTCGGTAGCTTCTCGTTTTAGCTGTTTCGTCTTTTCGACTGTAGGCCCTCCAGAGACCAGGTCGTCCACGTACAGGCTCTTAAGGATCTCTTTCACAGCATCAGGATATGTGAACAACAGATTCTCCAGATGTTGCTGGATCACTCCATTGATAAGTAATGGCGAAGGGGTGAGACCAAACACCACTCTACTGAAACGCAGCATTTCAACTTGCTTAACTGTCTTGTCTGCAATCCAGTGAAATCGTAGGGCATCTCTCTAGTTTTCTCGGATTCGCACTTGCAGGAATGCACGACGAATGTCGCCAGCCACTACCACAGGATGGAGTCGGTTTCGAACAACGACGCGCCACAGCTTGTTTTGTAATGGAGGTCCAGCAAGGAGGCAGTCGTTCAACGACGGGGCTTTCTTTTGCGCACGCGCAGACGCGTCGTACACCACTCGCAATTTCGTTGTCTCAGCATTTCTTCTTAAAACAGCACGATGGGGTAGAAAGAACTCTCTTCCAGTAACTTCAACGGGTGCTCGCTCCACTAAGCCTTCTTCCATCTGTTCTCTGATTACAGCGTCATACTCATCTAGCAGGTCAGTCTTCCTTAGCTTCCGTACAAGAGTGTTTAATCTGCGCAAACTTCCTTCCCGGTTTTTTGGCAAAGGAGGGCAGTTTCCCTTCCAAGGTAGCCCAGTTTCGTACCATCCTTCTCGAGAACGAACTAACTGTTCCTTGAACTCGTCATAAACAGTACTCTGATCTCCAGTTGCAGAGTCCGCCAGTCCTAATACGTCACGAGCGCACAGCTTCTCATTGTCAGCATTAGAGTTTACAGCCAACAGAGCAGGCGATAAGCCGCCATCAGCCCCAGGCGACATAAGTTTCCATCCAAATCTGGTGAACTCAGCAAAAGGATCTCCCCGGCGTCCTACTCTCAGCCGCTCCCCAGTGCGTATTTTGGCAGAGTCATTGGCTCCCAATATGATGTGAACGGGTAAAATTTGCTTCGTGTCTTCATCATCCATTCGTACTCCCCTGAGCTGTGGATTTGCTTCAATTAAGCGCTTGTAGCCAGGATTCTCCAGGACCAATAACTCTCTCTTGTTTACTTTCGTAATGTCCACGTCGAGCTTAAAATCACCGGCGATGGAACTTATGACCACATCAAATACTCGCATGGTTCTTGTTGTGATTCCTGTCAGCATGGCGATTTGTCGTAACCCCGTATACTTAGGGCGTACCTTTATTAACTCAATTGCGGTTTATGAAATGTACGAATGGCTTGCGCCACTGTCCAGTAATGCTCTGAACTTGAATCCACCAATCTTCACCACGACAACAGGCTGAATTACTGCGGTATTTCCGACGCTATTTGCAGTCCTTCCAGGCTCACGTGTGTTCGATTTGTCGCATAATGATGTGTGATGCCGAGAGTTACAATTTCGGCAAGTCGATTTGCTTTTGCAGTCTTCCTCTCTGTGCTTTTATCCTGTGCAGTTGAAGCATAGACGCTTCTCGAGAAAGATCTTTTTTCTCTCCGCCAATTTCAAAATCTTATCACAATTGACTGCGTTGTGATCGGAGCTTTTGCAAAACAAACAACCGCGGGAGGTCTTCGCATCACGATCGCCACTTTAGGAGTAAAATAATCTTCTATTTTCGTTCTTCTCTTGCCGACCTCCCATATTCTTGGATCTTAGAGCTTCGGAGAGCGGATTATTCAAAGTCCATTTCTGCAGCGATTCCAGGAACTGTGTAAAAGATCACTGGCTCCATTGCTCGTCAATCATCGCAAGTTCATTCTTTATGACCCCCAACTTGTCAAACGTAAATCTTACTATCAGCAGATAGTCAAGGTCAATATCATTAGTAAAATGTTCTGTCCAGGCGTCAAAGTTATTGTTTAATGGAGATGGGTGTAAACATGGGTGGGGTCCGAGTCATGTGCGTTGAGTGGACATCGTGGGTGGATGTTCGTGTTGAGGGTGGGGCTGAGAGCAATTTGCTACGAGGGAGACGTGTTCAAAACGGCATTGAGGCCAATTACAGCCCGACAAGGGGTTAAATTTGCGGCAGATTGGCCTGACAAATTGTGGCTGACGGCCGGAATTGGAGCGCGAGTCGGCATAAGGCCTAGCCAGAGCTTGGTTAGATTGAGTCAGTGCGCGACGTTTGGCAAGGAACCGCGTATGGAGATGCTGCGAATCGCTGCCCCAGCGAAATCCGTACTGGTGCTGGAGTTTTCGATATTCGTTATCATATATGACAACAGAGGCAAGAGTGTGAGACTCGAGCAGTTCTGCTACTTTCATGGTGTATGAGAGATAATCGGCAATCTGGGACGGGCCTGAAAGCTTTCCTGTGTTGGACAGCTTGTGCATAATTCTCGCATTTGCCGCAACCCACATGGACAGTGAAACGTTTTCCAACTTTGGCCTACTTCTAGGAGCACGTAGGACAATTCGTGGACCAGCAGACCCACCAATTTCTTGCTCATCCTAAAAGGATCCATCCTAGCTCGGAGTACTTATAAAATCAGGAATAAGCAAAGGTTTTGTCTCACCTTCTTTCTTGGACTGCACTTGGTGCTGAGTTCCTAAGAACACTTGCGTGTTGTTGTCAACCCTCTCGAGGGGCACGGACAATGGCTGCTCTGTGGCTCCGAGCGTTAGAAGTTTGTCGTCCATTGAGATATCGCCGATCTTTTTAAGCCGGTCTTCCAAGCCACTATCGTTGGCTAGTGACTTGGTAGTTACTAGGGTGCTCTCGCTCGGATGCTTCGCCTCCGTCTTGTGATCGTGATCGTTGCCGTTCTGCAAGTTTAAGGCCTGCATGAATAGTCTCCTCTACCCGAGTGTTAAGTCCAGTTCTCCTACATCGTCTGCATGAACTAGCTTAAGACATCGTGGCTGTCCAGGTCGTTGTTCTTTAATAGGAACTTAAGATACGACGACGGGAGATCTACGACGGGGAGCTTGAACCGTGTTAAGACTGGAACGAGTACGTCGTTCGTTATTGCTCGACTCCTCTTTAAGGTTAGTCTGAAACACAACGACTACGGAGAGTAATTATGGCGACCTTTCAACGAACGAGAGATGCTCTTTTGCTTGCATTAGATGATGAT